GGGCCCTTCATCTAAACTCCGAAGCTTCGAACAAACCTTTCTCTGATTATGTTAGCATGAAAGGAGAATTCGGGCTTCCCCGTAATGACAATAAGAAAAAAACAAAGCCTGCGAAGGATGAAAACTGATGAAGCTTTATTCAAACAGCTGTGATAATTGATGAAAGTGATGAATTGTGATGTAGGTTCTGAGTTATGATGAAAATGTCACGAATTACGAAACACGATGAAAACATGTTTCGTAAATCATGAAAATCTCGGAATATGATGCAAACTCATGGCAAACATGAAAAATGATGAAAACTTTGTGAAAATGATGACCTATGTTGCACAATGATGAACTCAGGGTCAGAAGGTTTGAGAGTTCAAAGTGCGCACCTCCTCCAACCCAGCGGAACTGACCGGAAGCAAGCTATGCGTCCACAAGCCCGACTCTAGGGACCCAAAATGGGGGTTTCCCAAAATCAGAGGTACCTTTTTGGGGGTCCCTATAATAAGGACTATAGTATTTTGGGGTCTATATTGGGATCTCTTTTTTGGGAAAGTCCAAATAACCCAATGTAGGTTCTATTTACAAACTTCATCGCCCGATGTAACTATTATTTGTGTACTTCTACTTGAAACCTTAGGGCTATAGTAAGCCATGACAGTTCTACGGGGTGTACAGCCTCCATGCCGAAGTACAGCGTCATAGCCACTATGGGACGTCGGTTGCGTTGGTCAACAAGGGCGAGGCTTTTCTTTGCCTGTTGATATTTGTACGTGCATTTGTCAGCAAGGGTTGGGACTCCTTCGATTTGAGGGATTCAGATAAAGTTGCATAATGTCCAAGAGTATGTGATTTTCACATATTGTTTGTTTACTGGTTCATTGCATTTGGCTCAAATTTCCAGCGTTAGCAAAAGTTTGGCGCTGGGGAGACATGCAGATCGTATGCAGCGGTCTTGAACGAACTGTTGCGCCAAACTGCACAGTCGTCTTGTAAAGACGGCTCATGATTCATGATGTTGCTACCCGTGTTGACATGTGTGCGTCATTCGGATCCTAAGCCATCGTCTTTTTATGCGCGATGGGTGCTTGCAACAGTTCAGCCCCTGCATCCACGCAGCTACGAGGCAAAACCGGGCCATGTAATTCGGTCGGAGGGTACGTTACGTGGAATGGTGGGAAATGTGCAAACTCTACTAGGCATGTACATGAGCATAGGAATGGAGAGTGTATCAAAGGATTTCGCAACCATTACAGGGGTTTTCTTGTAACTTGTGTATATGTATTCAGCTGCGAGAACTTGGCACCCATTTGCAGAACGTTCAACGGTTTTCTCCGGAGCGCGTGTGTTTTTGCAGCATGCCCAGTGGGGGAAATATACATACATGGGTTCCGTATGCGATGCTTGAGACGGAACATCTGAATACCCATGCACGCACAGATATGCTAAATATGTGTATGTACACCAGTTAGTTATATCCCATGTGTTCAGAAATTCTTAACGAGACATTCAACCACTTCTCTCGCATGCTATGTCAGGTGGCGAGGCGGCGACATTGCTTGTGGAGGCTGGCATTAACCAATGGCATTTTCGAAGCCGGTCATTTCAATTTAGAAGTCTTGAAACTGAAAAAAGATCCCCATATATCCCATATTTGATCTACTTAAGGGTGACTAGAAACCTGAAGCTGGGTTTCGTATGTCATACATGCACGAACGAACCCTTGTTTTGTTATTCCTATTCTTGGTTTGGTCGGTACTAGTATCTATAGTCGTGTTCGTATTAGTATACATATGATGTTCATTAATACCAGTATTGGAATTCGTATTACTATTACTAATCGTATTTTGTTCATTTGTATTATAGAACTTGTATTTTGAGTATTGTTGTCTCATGAAGAATGGCAGCAACTATCGGAGATTACCAGACATGCATTGTTGGGGCGGGTGGTGTCAAGACATAGTGTCTTCCGAACCGACAGCTATAACCAGAGTGTACTATAGGTACGATGTCCGGCTGCAGAATCATAAGCCGTTGCGTTGCTTTGTGAGCGGAAGGAGCTGGTTTCCAGCGTGAAATGTAGATGTAGACGGCAACTTTTGCAGCAGCTATGACATCCCCCATTGGCATAGTCACACTCAAGCACGCCACATTCCAACCCACGAACAAGCAAAATGCAACGCTGGGGGTTAGGTTGGGCAGTCACCATTGTGCAGGCTGAAGTAGAACCCGTTTGTGGATTGAAGATGATTGAAGGATGGAGCGGATTCTGTACCCAAGCATTTGGCAGCGCATGTGTATGAAAAGTGTTCGAGCTTTGAAAAAGGAGTAAACACCTGCAACGCCAGGTCTTTTTCAAGTACTTTGCAGATGTCCAAACCCTTGAGTCCAGCTTTTTGGTGAGAGAGATGTAATGGCAACCCTAAAACCCAAACCCCTATATAACCCCAGGACAGTAGCTTCCATTTTTTCCATTATCCCAGTATAACCTTAATATCATCCCAATGTATGAACATGTAATCCTAAACCCTAAACCCTCAACCCTAAACCCTAAACCCTAAACCCTAAGCCCTAAACCCTAAACAGCCCGACTTTGAAGCCACGATTTGCAGAGTCACGGATGGTCACAGCAGTAGGGTCACAAGCGAAGCATTTCTTTTTCCCTAAGCCCTAAACCCTAAACTGTTTCCAAGTCCTAATTTTCAGTCATCCCGGGAACATGCACTCTTCGCAATCCTCAACTCCGCCTTAGGGTTTAGGGTTTAGGGGCAAAATCATTTTGGCAACCTGCAACATGTGAATTCTAAGCATTATAGCTAGCTTCCAAACTTCGCCTGTTCCAAGAGCCGAAGTTCACCGAGTCACGCGTATGCGAAGCCCTCCCAACCCTTCGCCGAGCACTGGCCTTGCAAGTATGCAGAACCACCTCTTCCTAACAACAACACCTTGTGTCTGCACAATACACATCTATAAAGCTTGCCCAATTTCATTGTAGACGTTGTAACGTTCCTTCACAACCCCATCTGTAGCCCCTAGAAGTAATTACCTGAAAAGAGTTTTGTAACCGTGCATAATTGTGACTGAGTGATTAATCCTTTGGGAATGAGGGTTGCTCACTGAGTTTTGAGGCCATGCCCCTGAAACTGCCGCTGCCAAACTCGCCGCTGCAGCCCTGGATTCAGCAAGCTTTAACAGGGAGTTTCCCATTACGGTATACTATTGTATCATAGTAGATTGTAGTATATTATAGTGTATTAGAGTTAGTATATTATAGTATATCCTGGTATTTTATTGTAAATTGTGGTATATTATTTTCATAGCGTTCCTGATAAAGACCACCTTAATGCATGAGAATTGCAATGCATCCCAAGTTCTAAGATACCCCTGTTTTGATTAATATTTTTTTAGTACCTGCGTCTATCATTAGCACCTAAATCAGGGTTTAGGGTTTAGGGTTTAAGGTCTACATTGGAGTCTACATGCGGTTTACACTGGTTACATGTAGGTGATTGAATAGGAGCAGATGACTGGTAGTCTGAAGGGGTAATGGGGCTACCCCAAAAAAGTAACATGGCATTCTGCCTAGGAGTTCTGTATACCCCAGCAATCAATCAAAAAAATGTTTTTTTAAGAAGGAAATGCCTGCGGGGTGAGGCTTGGGGATTGATATGGGGGTTTGCCAAAATTAGGGGACCATTGTAGGGGTCCCAATAATGAGGACTGTATTATTTCGGGGTTTAGATTGGGGTCCCCTTATTTTGGGAAATTGCCATATAGGGTTCACGGTGTAGGTGTAGGTGCACAGTAGGGCCGGCAAAGTGTTCACTCGTTCGCTTGAGTAGTGTTTGTATCAGTTAACAATCAAGACCGGCGCGGCTAATCACCACCCATCCCGTATAGTACCAACATAGCATACAATGCGTGGAATAGTTGTGCTATCCCAGGGCGGCATGCGTGAATACATGCGGGAGGAAGTTGACTGTCACGAGCCAGCACTAGTAATGTCCTTGCTTCCTCCATCTACATGGAGGCTAGGCTCCCAGCACTGATAGTGACCACACAAGATACTGACAATGGCACTAGGCCGGCGGAAAAAAACCCGTCATACCTCTAATGCTGCCTAGGGGTTTCAATGCCTTACCAAGATCTTGCTTTGCTCTGCCCGTCCATAGAATCATGATCCATGGTGTAGTTCCGTTCTCGATTTTGATGCCATGCCCTGAAACCCTAAAGCCCTAAGGAGCCCAACAGTCGTCAATAGGGCCGGTTATTTCTAGATCAAAGCCTTGAGGATCGTGGGTCTGTGGATTTCATGGCTGGAGCATAGGCAACTTGGGATAGAGGACTCCCCTCCAAACGGTGGCATCCCTACAGAAAACGTATGGGATCTTCAGCCGATTTTGCCAAAGCTCTCGGCTTTCGCTCTAGTCTCCTCATTCCGGAGATTCAGGCAGAGTGAGCAGGCTACTAGTGTGCATGGTTTTACGTCTAAATCATTGGCCTCTTCTTGGGGTCCTGGCGGGGATCTTTGGGGGAGCTCCATTGTTGGAACCTCCCTATGCTTCTTGGCAGGAAGCACATAAAGAAACAGAAATTGTGTGGCCGAAGACTTGAGAAATGTCTGAAAAAATGGATTCCCACAATAGACCCACAAATTGCAGATCCTTTCGTTGTTGCAGGAACGTGCAGCCCTGAGAAATCCTCACAGGATACCAGTACGACAAAATGAAAACCAGACAAATATCGTTTTAAAAATTCTGGTGCTAAGGGTATTCATGGTGTCAGGACCATCTCTATGAACGCAAAGCAGGCAGAGCCTAAGCAGCTGCTTCTCCGAGTGGCGATCCAGGTAGAGAGCGGATGGGCTGACAAGCAGACGCACTGTGCGGAAAGCAGGTTGCACAGGATGCCTGTTGCAGTAAAACTAGCCGAGTGCCGTCCCTTCTGGCTCGCCAGCGTAGGTTGCAAGAGATTTTCAGCAGATTTTTCGCGCCGAGTCGCGTCCTGACGCGATGGGCGCCTGGGGCCGCTCTCGGATATGGTTGAAACGCCTTGTGCAAAGATGTGAAACTGTAGGGGTTGCCCGCTTGCCAACGGCTCTGGCACCCCAGATACCGATTGAAAGATGGGATGTCCGTCCGCTGGCTGCCATGTTGACAGCAGCATCAGCAGTTGCAGCAGTTGCAGCAGAGCAGACGCGGCGCTCGCATAGCAAGCTCAGCTGTGCCTCTACACAGCGTGTAAGCCTGGGCCCCATCACTGACTTCGAAGAGGCCAGCATGCGAGAGGTGAAGATGGAGGGAGGCGGAGCTGTGCTGGTTCATCGCCATCAGGGCGAGTTCTTCGTAACTTCGCCGGCCTGTGGCCACTATGGAGCTCCCCTCAGGAAGGGCGTCAGCTCTGCAGGAGGCCGCGGTGGCCCACCCACCATCACCTGCCCCCTGCACGATGCCACTTTCGACCTGCGAACTGGCCAGGTGGTTAGAGGCTTGGAGTTTTTTCTCGCTTGAGTTCAGGATGTCACAAAAGGGTACGTCAAGACCAGGGCCTTTGTGGATGTCATCAGGAATCCATAACTTGGGGGTTAAACCGGAGACGCTTGGATGGATCACAGTTGCTCCCATTTTTGACAGCATTCATTGGAGGTCCCAGTGTGGACGGCATCGCCGTCTACAAGTCGGAGGCGCTTCAACAGTTGAAAGCTTGCTTCCAACTTTGAGAACCCCAGCCAGAGGCTTGTTTCACATTACTAGGTCAAGAACGGTGTCCTTTTCGCCGACGTTCCCTCAGAGATTGTTTCTGGCACCGGCAAGCACGCGAAGGTTGGCAATGCATGAACTGACGACATCCGAGGTTAGACCCTCACGGGTATCGTATTAAACAATCTTTATTCAGCATGGTCAGTCGCAATTCAATTAGACAGGTAGCTGTAGGCGCAGCAGCTTCAACATTCAGCGCTTACTCATGCTTTGTGCACTTTTTCCGACTTGGGATTGGCTGGGCTTGACTTCACACCCGTGTTTCGGTGATCTGGGCAGTGGCCTGATGTGTGTGCTGGCCCGCAGTTGCTTGGTGTGCTTCAGCGGAGGCCGCTAGTGCTGCGTGGTGGAAGCTTAGCATCAATTGCTGGAGGGTGAGGGGAAGGGATCAGCACCATGATAAAGAGCTTCTGCAAGGCGCGCAATGGTGCACAGCATGACACGGGATGATGCAACGTTTCAAATTTAAAAAACATACGCAATGCGGGTTTTCACGATCACCCGGACCTCTGAAGCCGGCAGAAATGAAACCTTGAACACCCCGTTACATGGCCTATGTCTTCGGAGGCCATGCCAGCTGTTGGCATAGAGTTGGGTATTTTTGGAGGAAGCTCCTGAATTTCCAGGAGCCCCGAACCTTCCTGAACAAGGCTTCCTGCCAATTCCAGCTGCCATCCTTTCCATGCTCCAGGCAAGCTCGCCTATGCCTTCAAGCAGTTTTCAAAGGCATCGACGCGACTGCGTGCGGCTGCTGCTGACTCAACGACTTTGTTTTTCTTTTCTTTGCTTCGACCTTGTGCAAATTTTTTGCAAAACAAGTTGCTCCCGCGGTCTCCAGGAACTTTCAAGAGGAATTAAGAGGAGGTTTGCAGTGCCCAGATGTTGTTTGGAGCTCTTTGACTGGGAGCTATGAGCTGTTGGTGCTCCCGCTACCTGTTGGGCTGGCACGTCTCTGATCCGTTCCTTGAAGCCAGCAACGTGCACAATGTGCACACCAAAAGCCCGGCAACAATATTGCAAATGCTTGACAAGCACCAGCATTCGCAAAAATGAAGCTGCCCTGAAGCACCACGATGTGTACTCCGACGCTACTGATTGCTTGTGCCTAAGGATAGAAGAACAATCAAACGGCTTTAGTCCTCGTTTGTGAACTTTTGTCTCATTTTTTTCCCGCAGGAGGGTGGCTTTGGAAGAGTTTCAATATGACATGTTTTCCGTAGATCATCAGAGACGGTTGGCAAATCGAGGAAACTGTGTTCGTCGCGATGTTTTCCGGCGTCTGCAGGATGTACCGGTTTGTACTGTTTGCATGCTCTGTTTCCTCAATGACGCAGGTTGTTTATACTTGATATGCATGGGATTGCGGCAGATGGGGTTCTTGGTTGGCATCCGTTATTACTTTGTTGTTGTGACTTATGACAGGAAACAGCTGGAATGGTTTCAGGCGCAGAAAACGACACGGCAAATGACAGTGGCCAGCGCATTGGCGGAAGAAGGTTTGGATGCTGGCCGACGTTCCTGTCTGCACGTTTCATTATGGTGAGAATGCAGAATGAGATGTGTCAGAAAAGAACATGAGCTGTAGTCTAAACTCCTAGTATCCCCCTTAATAACCCCCATAATATACCCCTATATAATCCCCTATATAACCCCCTTTAAGGAGTTAAACCCTAAACCCTAAATCCTAAACCCTAGACCCTATATAACCCCCTATAATCCCCTATTTAACCCCCTTTAAGAGGTACGATACCCAAGTAAAATGCACGTGAACCGTCTCCAAACGCCGGGTGACCATAGCTCACATGAGTAAGCAACATCGCGTTTATCGAGGCCAAGACGATTTCAAATCTGGTGCCGGAGTCGGAGCACGTGTGCAAACTTAAAGTGGTAAACTCAATATTGGGGTTACAATGGGAGAATGGAAAAAATGGAAGCTACTATAGTATATTGGGGTTACATTTTTCTTAAAATCCTGATATTACCCCAATATAACCCCAATATAATCCTAATATTGCCCCAATATAAGCCCAATATAATCCTGATATTACCCCAATATAAGCCCAATATAATCCCAATATTGCCCTTTTTTTATTTGTTGCCACATTACAACAAATTGTTTCCATTAAACTTTTGCTGGCGCAATTTGTTTGGTGGCAGCATTCGATGTGGCGTCGCCTTGTGTGAGAGATCCTTCTGGCCAGGACTAGCCCATCCTTTTTGTCTCGTTGGCAAGCAGTTCGTCATCAGGTGCCAGCCGTAGGATGCAGAAAACTCAACAGTGTGATGCGCAACAACATGCCATACGCCGTATGGGTAAACCCGAACTCACGGGCTCTAGGCGCCCCTGCTACCGGAGCAGAAAATGGGGCTGCTGGCTTTCATTGGCTTTGGCCGCCTCTGACGTATCCTGCAATTGAATGCGTGTCCTGGGGTGACAGCTGCTTGACGGCAGAGGCTCGTGGCCAGCCAATGGAATTGGTGACTGTGCGCAGGATCAAATGGCCAAACGAAGTGCAAGTGGAGAAGCAAAATGCATTTACGAGGCCTCGGCGGTCGAACACGAGCTTTTTACAGAAGCTTCCAAACTCAGCGCACTTGCAACAGGCAATTGAGCATGAGCAGTTAAGGAACCCCTCAGGGGGTACCTGGTATTTATGGCGCGTGTTTTTGAAATGTTGTTTTGATGCCCTCCCGGTACATGCGGCATCCGCCGCGAGGCTGAATAAGATAATATTCAACATCAACCAAATTTTGACGTCGTGTTGCCTGCACTGTGTGGATTTTCATGAAGCGTTCCATTGCTTCCAAACTGACGACCAAACTGTGCCAATACGAGAAGCCAGATGTGTTGCAACGGTATCCATGTCACGGCACGCTTGGACATGTACTGTCCTCTCGTGGTGCATGCTACAGCATTGTCAAACCCGCAGCCATACTTGGTGGGCATGTTCGTGCATGGCCCTTGTGTATTCTCGCTTTTCGCAATGAACATCTTTCGTGTTGTCACACGTGCTGTGGTGGGGTATGGATGTGTCGGGAGTGTTTGGTAAAGATTTGCCGGCTCCTGCATGCGCTTGCCACTGTGTGGTGCGCCAATGCTGCATACTGTCACCCTGCCGCCATACATTCTTCAGCAAAGGCATGCGAGTTAGCTCGTGACAACACTTGATGACGCTTCTCTGCAGTTGTGGGGCGATAGAAAATCCAAACTGCCTGTTGTACAAAAATCTTCAGCTGAAAACCCCCATGCGTCGTCCCATGAAAAACCTCAACTCGGTGAGTTTTCCGCAATTGTTAGTGATGGCTCGCGGGCCCCACGATTAAAGTACAGGCGATACAATTAAGTGCCCATCATATTTGTGAGGTTTGGGAACCTGTGCATTCAGAAGTCTGGGAAACGCAAACATTTTTTTCCGCCTCCAGTTTTACCGCCGATGGTCCCGACGTCCCGCGCGTCCTAGACTGCCGCAGACAAGTGCGTCAAGCCCCGCGGGGCATGCGACTCAACGGCCGCCCCAGCTCTGGACCCAAGCGCGCTGCGCAGCGTGACGGAGTGCAGGAGGCGCACTTGCCGTACATGCAGGCACAAACATGCGGAGGAAGGCTGCGGCTACGGTGCCCAGTGCCTGCCCACCCCGACGCCGAACACAAGGAGGCGACAGGCGGCGACAACGCATGAGCTCCGCGTATGTTTGCCGTCGTTTGGCGTTTGGCTGCATGGCGAAATTCATTCCTTTCATCAACATTCAGCAACTGATTTGAAAAGCAGCCGCAGCGGTCGCACCGCCGCCATGCTGCTTATCTTGCCAGATAGTACGCTTCCAACAACATGCGATTGGTTGGATACTTTGACAGACGCTCCGCGTTTTTTGGGCTGTGTTTCTGTGATTTTTGTGTTTGGCCAGCCATGGCCAGCCGTGGTTTTCGGGCGTTTCAAGCACAAACATACCAGCAAAGTGCAACTGCGACGAAATTCAGGAGTTGATTCTGGTCTCACCTTTTCCCAATCTGCATCAGCAGCGTGCTGGAAACCAGCTGTCCATGTTTATGATTGTCTATGTGGATGAATAATGATGAGTTGTTTGGGATGGCATCATGTGTTGTGGTCGTGCCCGTTGTCCCAGACAGATACGAGACGGTCCATTCATGTCCATTTTTGTATGGCTGCTGATGCGGCTTCTCGATTGTTTTCCTGAGCTTGGCCGAGCAAACAAGGCTTGACGGCTGAGAGTCTTGTGGCAGGAGATCATGGTTCTTTTTGTGAGCACGTCAGCATAAGCGCGTTCTGAAACTGCAAACCCCACATTTCGTATCATTTCGTGCCCATCGTCGTGAAAATGTCTGTCATCTTGATTCTGCATTTTTAACACATGACTTGTGGTTTTTTGAGCCATGACTTGTAAGTTTTTTTTTCAACGGACCTTTTTTGCAACCAGTTCCTGCGGTCCCAGTGCAGACAGTTCACGGGCGAGTGAGCAACACGGAGGCGGCCGAAATCCACAAATCCACCGGCAGGGCCCATCAAGGCATGCGGCTGGCAAAGGGGGGGGACCTCAGACGAGTCCGCGAGGAGATCGCTGATGAGAGGCATTACAAGTTTATTTGCGCACATGACAATCCAGTTGGAAGCAACGCACGCCCGAAAAAAACACAGACGTCACATTGAACACGTTGGTGTTGTGGCATGTGCAGGTCATGAACAGAAACCTCCACGCCCGCTCAGCCGCATGCGGGCCTCCGGCTGCGCGCAGGTTGGCCCGTGCTGGAACCAATGCAAGCATTGCCTGCCATATGGGGACTTGCAGGAAGGGAGCGTGCCGCACTGGGAAACAAGGCCACGCACATCTCCCAAAAACAATTTTAATCTGTCTTATCTTGTCGAAAGCGAAAGATTTGCTGGATTGCATGTTGTGCTTTGCAGCCTCGTGCGCGAACAACAGAGTGGCCAGGAAAGTGTGCATGGTCATATGATGTCATATGATGTCATGCGTGTTCCACGTAGGCTCCCCATGAATACCACATGCGCCAGTGTGCCGGTGCGTCCGAATGGCAAGGATTGCACTGAGAGTTGGATTGTGTGGCTTCGAACGGAAGAAAACCACAATCATATTTTCTTGTAAACGAAAGCTCGCAAAACAACGAACAAAAAAACGTTGTCCACAAATTCGCCCCTTGGTGTCCCAGACCCCAGCTGGGGCGTACGAACGCATGCACAACTTGTTGCCCGGCTGAGCAGCCCCAGCTCACATGCATACATGAACCAACTGGCCCAGGAAACGGTCCATTAGGTAGGTGGGCATCGCGGTGTTGTGATTGCAACGAATATTCGTCCGGCTGCTGGCGCGCAGCCGTTCCCGCTCGACCCCACCTCCCGCCGCTCGCCAATCCACTGCCCTGGCGGGCCAGTCAATAAGCACTGGACTTCCTGGACCTTCTGCCGCCGTGGACTTTCTGCAGCCTGCGGCCGGGTCGCCTTGCATTGGGGCTTCCTGCCATACCCCGCGCTGGGACCGCGGATTGGCCAGAAAAGGTGCGCCAAAAAAAAACAACCTAAAGAAAAACCAAAAAAAAAGGGCCGCCCAACCCAATTCCATAGACGATGAGCGGTTTGCATCTGAGGCAGATGGGACTGGCTGATGGGGATGACTTCAATCCGGCACCATTTGCACCTGGCACATCCCGATTGAAACCCCGAAGGCCACATGCAAGTGTTCTGTTTGATTTAGTTATGCATGGGACTTGATGGAGGTAATTCCGCAAAAGAAAAAGAAAAAACAAAAAAAAAAAAGTGCTTGCATAGCTTCTAGCTTGCCCGCCGGGCACATTTGCATCTAGAACGGTCTTGTGCGCGTAGTCTGGGTGGTTTGCGGTTGTGTGAACCACAGGAGACTTGTGTGGAATTGTTTGTAGCCCACGAATGCCACGTAATCCGCGCACATGCAGCACGAGCATAAGTGTGAGCGAGTAACCAATTTTGCAAGGAAAACAATATCCCGCTTATTGGAAATGCTTATCTTAGAGGCTGCCCTGCAGCAAGCCCGCTGGGCCAAGGAGAGGGAAGACGTACCCTGAGTTTTCCCAGGGCTGCCCGTGCTCGACTAGTAATCCTTACCCTCGAAGTTGGTGGCCGCTGGAATATTGAGAGCGCCAGCTTCATCCGCCTTCTCGCCAAGGCCCCTGCCAGGAACGGCCCTGCTGCATCACGCGCAGCCAGCATTCCCGCGCACACACAACGATGGTCCGCCCGCTTGCGGGCCCAACGCGCGCCTCCCGACGTCCGGGGCGCCGCAGCGTTGATGCCAGCCTTGTCGCCGAGCGCCCAGGCACTTCTCCGTTCGCAGGCGGGCCCGCAAGCCGGCATGTGCTGAGGCCGCCACCACCTTGCCGCCGCAAGCCATGCTAGTGGCATCGCGACGTCGCCTGCGACTGGCCCTGCCACTTTGCCCCAGTAGGTGCGCGCGCTTGCGTGTCCAAGGACGGGTTTGCTGGCCAGACGTGCCAAAGTCGTGGAGCGCGCCTGGGTCCGAGTGGCACGGGAAGCCGTGGGGCCGGAAGGCCAGGTCGTGCCACAACAGTGGCTCGCCCACACGACTGCTCCCAGCGTGCAGCCACAAGACCGCAGACGCCTGGACCTCGTCGTGTATGGGGCCACAAATCGCGGTGGCAGGCGCGCTTTGCTGCGACGCGACCCTGGTGTCCCCTCTCACAAGGACGGGTCACCCTCAGCCCTGCGCCGTCCAAGTTGATGGGGCCGCCCTGCAGGTTGCAGAGCGTTGCAAGCAGGCAGCCTACCCCGAGCTCACGCGCGAAGGCCCGCAAACACGGCTGGCGCTGGGGTCTGAGATCGGCGGTCGTTGGAGCACCATGGGCGCGACGATGGTGGGGCGCTTTATCAGTGGCGGTGCAGCTCGCGGTTGCAAGCACTGCCCTAGGCCGCCCCTGGCCCGCGGCAGCGCAGCCGTGCTCGGATGGGGGCCCGACTCTGGACCGCGTCCTGGACCTTGGCGTGGACGCGGGGCCCAGCCGATTGCCCCTGCGGCCCTAAAACAGGACCGCGCGTAGGTAGGTGGCAGCGTAACAAGTAGCGAGGATTTCTTAAGGACTCGTCATGCAGGCGTAAAAATCCGAGTAAAAAAATTGCCGCTGCGTGTTCGCAAGCCTCCTGTCCTTCCTTCTTGCTGGCACCGCTAACGTTGAAGGGGGCTTGCCACTCATCAGCGATTTGCTTCCATGCTCCGCTGCTTTATCGCCGTTTGCCAGCACATGCCTTAGCCGCGAAAGCCTGCCTAGAGTTTGTGGCTTGGACTTGGCTCCGCGTTGGGACCGTTTCGCTCGACTACGAGAATGTCCGCCAAGAAAAAGGAGGCATTTGTGATTGCACGCTGATGACCACCATGCAAAGCTAATCTAACTGATCTGGTGGGGAGGGTGTTCGCGCAGACAAACGACGGCATGCCTGTACGCTTCGCACGAATTGCCAATCTTTCACATTTCATCAACCTTTTGAACCTGTAGGTGGCACCACTCGGAAGGGTTGCTGCCCCACCCACGCGGAGCAAGTAAGGAGCACCATCCATGACATGCGCAACACGTGGGGAATGCTCGGGACTTCTTACTCAAGCCTTCGTGTGGCCCGATGTTTATTCATTCCGCCCGGCTGGTTACCCCGTCGCTGGGCCACGCACCAAAACCGCACACACATCACGATATCGATCCCAAACCCACCCTCGTCAAGTATCCCCATCAAACGGGGATAATCCTTTGCCCAACATAGTTAGGCAACAAGACAACAAAAAAAAACAAAAAAAACAGGGCCCCAAAGGTTTCGGGGTTGGCCGCTGCTTGCTATCAAGCATCACATGTCCACCACGAAGGAAATGTCAGCCTCCGGATTTCGCTTGTGCAGTTAGCTCTATTGGTGGCATTTCCCGAGGCAGCAGCGGGGCCATCCCTTTCATGGAGTTTCGCCATGTAAATGATTTCATTTCCGAATTTTTCATTGTTACTTTCGGCCGCGTTCCCACATCACGTGTTCCCAGCGTCCAAGGCTCGGAGGGTCCAAAAATTATCATCAAAAAATAGCATTGCAAACATCATGTTGCATGGAGCGTCATTACACTTTCACCTGGCTCCCACTTGGATGTCATCCACCCAGCTTTCAAAAGCTACTTGCTATCAAGCATCGTTTGTCCACCACGAAGGAGGTGTTAGCCACCGAAAAAAAAATCAACTTCCGGATTTCGCTTGTGCAGTTAGTTTCATTGGTTGCATTTCCTGAGGCAGCAACGGGGCCATCCCCCTCATGGACACCATGTCCTGCAGCGGTAGTGCATTTTGGGTACTTATTCCATATTTCCATTTTCCTTGGATTTTGCGCGCGTTCCTGCCGGATCGGCGTGTTTTTCGTGTTTATGTTCAGCTCCTTTTTTTTTTTTTTTTTT